TAATGTTCCCGCAATTTCTGTTTAAATGAATTTATTACATTATTATATATATTAGGCATACGACTAGCCTTATGACTGTTACTTTTTTTTAATCTATACATCTATACATGTAAATAAAATTGGAGTGTCTGTTTGTAATATTGAAATAACCGTTTTTTACTACTTGCATATGAATATAAATACGGTACATACACCAAAATAACATATTTTACAAGTTTTGTCTGTCTGTCTGTCTGTTTGTTCCGGCTAATCTCTAAAATGGCTGGACCGATTTTGACGGGACTTTTTTGGCAAGTAGCTGATGTAATAAGGAGTAACTTACGCTACTGTTATTTTAGAAAAATAAAATAAAATTTCACGCGGACGAAGTCGCTGGGGCCAGTTAGTCTATAGATATACCGAGATTTAATGTTTAAGTTGCTATTATGTTGTTGACAAAATTTTACTGTAATGTTACTATTACGTTATCCTACACAATTTGTATTATTTTGGATGAATAAATAAATAAATAAATAAGAATCTATACATCTATACATTTAATAAAAATTGGAGTGTCTGTTTGTAATATAGAAAAAACCGTTTTTTACTACATGCATATGAATATAAATACGGTACATACACCAAAATAAAATATTTTACAATTTTTGTCTGTCTGTCTGTTTGTTCCGGCTAATCTCTGAAATGGCTGGACCGATTTTGACGGGACTTTTTTTGGCAGGTAGCTGATGTAATAAGGAGTAACTTAGGCTACTTTTATTTTAGAAAAATAAAGTTAAAAACCACGTGGACGAAGTCGCGGGAACAGCTAGTGTATAATATATTAGAGATACCTACGTGTTTTTTTATTGATGACTAGCTGTACACGGGATTTCGTCCGTGTTGAATTTAACTTTATTTTTCTAAAATATAAGAAGTTAAATTCCACGCGGACGAAGTCGAGTGTACAGCTAGTTGTCGGTAGTCTAGCGATTTAGCTAGCACACTGCTTTGATTCCTGCTTGGTGGTCGAGGGTTCGATTCCTCGCACGCTGCAAACATTTGTATTCATGAGTATGATTGTTTGTAACGGTCTGGGTGTTTTCTATGTATAGATAATATATATGTATTTACGAAAAAAAATCTTTGTATTTATATCAGTACCCATAACATAATCTTCAGCTAGCTTAACTTGGGTCTAGATGAAGCTGTGTGAATTGTCCTGAGATTACTATTATTACTATAATAAATCTTTTCAAATCAGCCGATGTTTATTTTTGCCATAATACGTGCTGTTACCATGTGATAATATTACGTACGTACTTATTAAACTATTAACTTATTATTAAATTGTTTGTAACGGTCTGGGTGTTTTCTATGTATAGATAATATATATGTATTTACGAAAAAAATCTTTGTATTTATATCAGTACCCATAACATAATCTTCAGCTAGCTTAACTTGGGTCTAGATGAAGCTGTATGAATTGTCCTGAGATTACTATTATTATTAATTGGTACACAGGTAAACTACTAACTAGGCCATATTGGTGGTGTTGTTTGTTATGGTGAAAAAACTAGTAGGTATATATATAAGTTACACGTACAATTTCAAAGACTTATTTCTTGAAAACTACTGGCTATTCTGAAATAAAACTTTAGTGTTTGTATATGTAATGTTTGCATATAAAATATGATTAAAGGTTACCAGTGTATTTACACTTTTACTGAACAAACAGAGTTGTTTAATACTGAAAATATTGTGTGGAAGGCATCAATTACTTTCAGTGCATGTATAGCTTTTCTCTTTTCCTAATTATTATTATTATTAAGTTTAAAGTGGTTGAATTTTACGTAAGGGGTTTTTATACATTATTTCTAATGTACCATTTATTTTAAGTTTTTTAAACTCTATTCATCGAGACCTATCTAATGAGTCCAAACACGATATTTCTGCTGTAAGTTTTCGAAGAGTATGTTCATCATCTGATAATACTGGTGCCAGCATGAAGTCAAGGTTAACAGATAACTAATTACTTTTATTTCGTCAAAATCTTTAGATTACGTATAATAAATTCATAATATCGCTACCTATTCAAATCAAAACAAGTATTAGGTACTTCATGTACTAGTATATAAATTCATCAACACACAAGTAAATGATTTTTAAATATATTCAGAGCCAAAAAATCTTTGTGCATTTAAAAAAAATGCCGATACGGATTCACTATTGCAGGAAATTGTTGAAAAAATATATATCGAGTATAGGTATCTACTACTATCGACGAATACATTTGGCAACAACGCATGGTCTCGGTCGGAACGGCAACATCGCATATTAGAATACAAAGATAGTGGTAGAACGCGGAACGGCAACATGTTGCCGTTCCGCCACGCTACCGTTATAGTGGTAGAAAGAGAGAGACAGTGGAATCAGCAATATCTACGGATCGTGGCTGGATCAACTAAGTGTGCAAATGTAAGTATATATATATATATACTTACATTTGTCTTTAATTCAAAGGAAATATAAATAATGAACGCATCACATTTAAAACAGTAATAAGTACGTACGTAATATTATCACATGGTAACAGCACGTATTATGGCAAAAATAAACATCGGCTGATTTGAAAAGATTTATTATAGTAATAATAGTAATCTCAGGACAATTCACACAGCTTCATCTAGACCCAAGTTAAGCTAGCTGAAGATTATGTTATGGGTACTAGACAACTGATATAAATACAAAGTTTTTTTTCGTAAATACATATATATTATCTATACATAGAAAACACCCAGACCGTTACAAACAATCATACTCATGAATACAAATGTTTGCAGCGTCCGAGGAATCGAACCCTCGACCACCAAGCAGGAATCAAAGCGGTGTGCTAGATAAATCGCTAGACTACCGACAACTAGCTGTACACGCGACTTCGTCCGCGTGGAATTTAACTTCTTATATTTTAGAAAAATAAAGTTAAATTCAACACGGACGAAATCCCGTGTACAGCTAGTCATCAATAAAAAAACACGTAGGTATCTCTAATATATTATACACTAGCTGTTCCCGCGACTTCGTCCACGTGGTTTTTAACTTTATTTTTCTAAAATAAAAGTAGCCTAAGTTACTCCTTATTACATCAGCTACCTACCAAAAAAAGTCCCGTCAAAATCGGTCCAGCCATTTCAGAGATTAGCCGGAACAAACAGACAGACAGACAAAAATTGTAAAATATGTTATTTTGGTGTATGTACCGTATTTATATTCATATGCAAGTAGTAAAAAACGGTTATTTCAATATTACAAACAACAGGCTTCAACATTCTCAAGTACCATAAAAAAGATGTTTTTATTAAAAACAAGGTGTTCCCGCGACTTCGTCCGCGTGGAATTTAACTTTATTTTTCTAAAATAAAAGTAACCTAAGTTACTCCTTATAAATCAGCTACCTGCCAAAAAAAAGTACCGTCAAAATCGGTCCAGCCATTTCAGAGATTAGCCGGAACAAACAGACAGACAGACTAAAATTATAAAAATAGTTATTTTGGTATATGTACCTTATATATATTCATATGCATGTAGTAAAAAACGGTTTTTTCAATATTACAAACAGACACTCCAATTTTTATTAAATGTATAGATGTATAGATTATTATTTATTTATTTATTTATTCATCCAAAATAATACAAATTGTGTAGGATAACGTAATAGTAACATTACAGTAAAATTTTGTCAATAACATAATAGCAACTTAAACATTAAATCTCGGTATATCTATAGACTAGCTGGCCCCAGCGACTTCGTCCGCGTGAAATTTTATTTTATTTTTCTAAAATAACAGTAGCGTAAGTTACTCCTTATTACATCAGCTACTTGCCAAAAAAAGTCCCGTCAAAATCGGTCCAGCTATTTCAGAGATTAGCCGGAACAAACAGACAGACAGACAGACTGTACTATGCTATACTATGTATTGATTGATATACCTAAAATAAATATAATATCTGAGGTTTGAACAAAAACTCAAAGGGTAATTTATTTTGAAAAAGTATTTTGAAAATACCTATTTTGCTTTTAGTGTTATAGTACTTTAACTGTTATGTTTTAAGTAACAATGTTTAATTATAATTAATACTACTGCACCAACACTCCGATCGTGCAAAAAAATTTGCTGTTTCATTATTTTTTAGTTCAATTAGTGGTCTACCTAAGTTCTGGGCTAAGGGGGGGGGAGAGTCATGACGCCCCCATGACTCCCATGACCTCCATGACGCTCCCCCCTGGATCCGCCGTTGCGTCTTCTCTTTATTCGCTCAGTAACGTTGTTACAAAAGAAAAGATTCCCATCCAAAAAATAACAAGTATTGAGGTTTGATCTGGAGTCACGTTACTCCAGACTGATTTCTATAAATATTTAGATTAGGTAGACTATTATTTTTGAAATACTAGCTAGACATTATTAAGTTACTGTAGCCATAATGTAGTAGCCCAAACGTGCCAATGAGGAAGCCCTTGGCAAATGCTGCACCCTGATTGGCCCGTTTGAATTGGATCAAGAACTGCTCGTATGCCAAAAAGGTGGATTTGTATAAAATCGTGTATAAATCGCTTAATTATTATTATTACTCGTCGTGACAGTTGTGGCTCAAAACGGATCAACATTTATATATGGTCATCTGGCATTAGATCAACAAAAGGCCTCCGGATCAACAAGTGAAAAAGGATCAACAAAAAACTACCTATACGGCACGTCTGAGCCACAAAGTGCCCAAGGGGATATTTATATATATATATATATATATATATATATATATATATATATATATATATATATATATATATGTATATAATATATAATTAAAAAATATTAAATAATAATATAATAATAGTATAAAAATTGAATTGAAATCTATATATATATATATATATATATATAGATTTTAATAAATATACCAGTTACATTTTGATATTGAGATGTTCTGGATTCGAAGTCTAATATAAATACACAGTAAATACTCACTTGCTTTTTAAAAGGTGTTATCCATTTAGAATTTTTTTCCATTATAACTATATTAAACACACACTTTCAACCATGGGTGGTTGTAATTTGTCGTTAATACACCGTTCACAATAATATTCCATACATCATATTTTTATCAGATTGTCAGCATATAGATAAATACTTGAGTTTAATATCAAGTGTTCGCTGCAATGTAGCGACGCGTACGGTGTTTGAAATAGCTCTGCCTCTATTTATAATCGATATATGTAAGTTTCTCCTCTCAGCTGATTGCGGGTTACATATATTGGGTACTGCAGCTTTGTGGGTGCGACGGAGGAATGGCTAGCGTTTAGTGAAACGTTTTCGCTTCGCACTCGCTGTCCGCGCACGTGAAATTGTTTAAGGATCTCGAAATATTAATGTTAATATATTCAATAAATATACTTAAGAATAGGTCAAAGTATTTTTATAACAGATACATTTTTTTTAGTTTACCCAACATATAAACTATACTGTGTTCAGCCAAAAAGCCACCCACATCGACTTCACTTGTTAAGGGTAATGTCACATGAGAGGTACCAGTTTCTAAACAAAAAAGAGAATCATGAAAATCGGTTCATGTAGAATAAGTTCTGAAATGACAGACATAAAATAGGATAAACAAAAAATATAGTCGTTTTGACAATTTTATTTATTTTTTTAATGGAAACTTAGTACAATTTGAAATCAGTATCAATAAAAATTTAATCTTTATAATATTTGTTTAGTTTACCAATTTGATTACTTCAAGATTAGTCACCTTAGTTACATGTACATTTTATAATGTAATATATAATTTAGTTCTAGGTTAAACCAGCTGAATATATTTATACAAAAACGCGTTCTTCGTGCATTATGTATTCGCAATATGGTATCTTGGTATGAGCATGTTATGCGGAGCAAGGACCGTGTCTTAAAGAAAGTAGGTATATAACCATGAACAAAAAAAAAGATTGATCAAAAAAAGATGAATGGATTCTGTTAAAGATGTGCTAAAAGGAAAGTATGTTCAGATGTGCCGATCACAAATAATAGGGTAAAGGCAAGGCAAAAATGAATATAATTGTATACAAATATTATGTACTTATACATGTACACACAAGAATGTTCACTTTATTTTAAAAATAGCAATATTATACTACATTTATATACATAATAGATATAGTTATAAAGTTTTCATGGGATCAATTCCCATGAAGTTACTAAGTTCTACAATAACATACCGAGGGATATTTTGGATCTATCTTTATATCAATTCAAGACTTTTGATGCTTTTTCCGGTGATAAATACATCCGGTGATAAACATCTATGACTAGAAAGGTCTGGTTCAAAAATATATCGAAATGTGTTAAACCATAAATCACCATAAATTCGACAGTTGACATAAGCTATCTCTGACTATACCATAAGGGGTATAGAAGTCGTGATCAAGTATATTTGGGTTTTATTTGAGTGCAAATTTCAAGGTTTATATAAGGCATAAGGCTGCTCTGTTAAGGTGTATATATAGAAATAGCAATAGAATTAATCTTTATTAAAATAAACTTAATATAAGTACTTTTGAATAGTCATATTTTTTTTATTCTACCGCTCATTCGGAACGCAGACTCATCACAAAATGAATGAGCAAGAAACTTGTGTGTTGCTCTTTTAAATAAATGTTGTTTTAATTAGATTTACATTAACAAGAATTAGGCATGCGACAATCAATATAGAAACCGCTACGCACTTAATCTCTGTTCAATCAGATAACATTGTCAGCGCTATGAATTTATATGTAAGATGTAGGTAAGGAAAGATTCATTTAGGTAAGACAGTTCATTGACCATACAGACATAATGTGACCTAATCGGCAACAGATGTTTTTATAAACCATTTCAAAAAAATATAAGTGTATTTTTTAAAAATATGTAATTTAGTATTACTAAAGACATTTCAGTGTGTAAAAAATAATTATATTTTGGACACGAGAGAAATCTAGTTATAATTATAATGCACCTAATAAATAATCCTGGACAATTAACACAGCGCCATCTAGTCCCACGGTAAATAGAGCTTGTGTTATGGGTACTAGAAAACTGATATAAATACTTTTTTTTGTACCTACAATGACCTACATAGTATACATAGAAAACACCCAGACCGATACAAACCGTGGGAGGAATCGACTCTGCGACCATCGGAAGTAAATCGTTGTGCTTAACCGTTAGACAATCGAAGCCATCAAGTCTAATATTATGATCTGTAAGAATGCAGTTTTTTCTTGAGCAGTATTCTAATGCTGTTGGCCGTAGCTGGCCTTTACAGCTTCACCGGACGATAGGGGCGAGTGCAGATGGCACTCCAAACCCGCTGAAGTACTTATGGAGCGGCTGAAGGCCAACTCCCGCCTGACGGATGTGCGATAGTACCCCATATCTATACATATATATAAAATTGGTGTGTCTGTTTGTAATATTGAAATAACCGTTTTTACTACATGCATATGAATATAAATGCGGTACATACACCAAAATAACATTTTTACAATTTTTGTCTGTCTGTCAGTTCCGGCTAATCTCTGAAATGTCCGGACCGATTTTGACAGGACTTTTTTGGAATATAGCTGATGTAATAAGGAGTAACTTACGCTACTTTTAATTTAGAAAAATAAAGTTAAATTCCACGCGGACGAAATCGCGTGTACAGCTAGTGTAGTATACAATTGAGTCAATATGTAAGATTTCAATTCAATCTCTAATCATTATCGTCAGTAATGATGAATTGCATCATCGAAACGTGACAGAATGTACAAACAAATACTAGATTTTTCCTCACCGCGCCTCGAAACTAAGTCAATACTAAATATTTTAATTATTCACTACCATATCTAAGATAAAATCGGCCTTGTCGGAGCATTATTTAACATTTACATACAGCTTAATATTATAAGGTAGTACACGGAACTGTGATGACTTACGGCACAGAGACATGGTCGCTAACTATGGGCCTCATGAAAAGGAAAAAGAAAAAGAAAAAGAAAAAGAAAGAGAAAGAAAGAAAGAAAGAAAGAAAAAAAGAAAAAAAAAAAGAAAGAAAATTATTTATATGGTACATAGCAATACTGAAAATAATTTTTAATAATTTAAAAATTATTTTCAGTAAATTACTTTTATAGGTTTAAATTAATTTTGTAGTACTGAATAGGTCTCCGCTCAGCAATTATGTCGTGACGGGGTGCCACGACGCTGGTATTCTGCAGATACTTTCATATATATAATAAATATAATAAAATAATAATACACATACATACATAGATCTAGGCGGATAACACAGAGTAAACATTTACGACATACTACCGTATATAAATAAATATCAAACATAACTACACACTGAAACATAAAATAAACGTAATGTTCTGGTGATACTAGCAGGCTGACCTTGCATTACCCTGCATTTGGAGTGCAGACACATCACAGCACAGTTTCCTGAGTGATGATGAGTATTTTTTTAAATTTATTTTTAAAAATCTGGACAATGCTCAGATCTGCACAACGCTCGGAGTTTCTCTGCGTGATCGAATCAGAAATGATGAGATCCGCAGAAGAACCAGAGTGACCGACATAGCCCGAAGAATTGCGACACTGAAGTGGCAATGGGCAGGGCACACAGTTCGTAGGACAGATGGCCGTTGGGGCAGTAAAGTTCTCGAATAGCGACCATGGACCGGAAGACGCAGCGTGGGAAGGCCTCCAGCAAGGTGGACCGACGATCTAGTCTAGGAAGGCATTGGATGCGAGCAGCGCAGGATCGTCGTGGAGATCTTTGAGTGAGGCCTATGCCCAGCAGTGGACGTCTTCCGGGCTGCGATGATGATAATGACACGGAAGTTTGTACCTAATGTAGTACGTTATATAACCTTTTTTTACTTTTTATACCTTGGTTTACCTTAACCAACTTACCTTAACGAACTAAAGTGCACATACGCAACTTTTAGTATCAGCGAAGTGCAATTATGACGAATGGTTACAATTGCCATTTGAGGCAAATTCAAGTCGTTATTTATGGCATAAAATCTTATAACATCATGTGTGCGATCCGTCATACTCGTGAACGGTTGTTGCTTGTGGCGACTAGTCTGTTAGGGTTACGAAAACTGATTAGACTATCTGCTTTAGCAATAGCATATGTTGGTGGTCACTCTACTCTCCTAAATTTGAATTTAAAAATGAAACTGTATTATGTAAACATGTACTTATAACATTTATTTGAAAAGAATACGAGCTGAGTTTCTTGTCAGTTTTTCTCATCTCGAAATCATTCCGAACTGACGGTAGATTTGAGATATCATAAGAGTCTGTAATAGACCTACAAGAATATCTAAAGATATTTTGAATTTGTATTGAATTTATGTCTGTGAGACCGGGTATTTAAAAAACAATGAATATATTACATACTAGCTGTTCCCGCGACTTCGTCCGCGTGGAATTTAACTTTATTTTTGTAAAATAAAAGTAGCTTAAGTTACTCCTCATTACAACAGCTACCTGCCAAAAAAGTCCCGTCAAAATCGGTCCAGCCACTTCAGAGATTAGCCGAAACAAACAAACAGACAGACAGACAGACAAAATTGTAAAAAGTGTTGTTTTGGTGTATGTACCGTATTTATATTCATATGCATGTAGTTAAAAACGCTTATTTCAATATTACAAACGTCTGTTTGTTTATATGTATAGGTTTATATTTAATTTCGGGTAGCTACTTTATTCCACGGATAACATTTTTACTTATTTTATAATGGCTGCGTCATACGTCATACTCGTGAACGAGTGCTGGTTGTAGGGACTGGTATGCTCTAATCACTACGACTGACTTAACCTCATTGTGTCTTTATATTTGACCCTAATAAATTAATTAACTGCTAGCTGGTAGTTTGTATTCACACGTTTCGACCTAAAAATGTAACCTTACGATTAAATAATCGTAAGCTTTAAATAAAAGAGCAACACACAAGTTTCTTGTTCTTTCTTCTTGTGATGAGACAGCTACGTATTATACATAGAAAATACCCAGACCGCCAAAGACAATCATACTCATGAATACAAATGTTTGTGCCGTGCGAGGAATCGAACCCGCGACCATCGGAAATAAAGCAGTGTATTAAACCGCAAGACCACTAAAATCTTAATTTCTAA